ATTTAAGTCTCTGTTAAATTATTTGTTTCCCCCTCCAAACAATTACAAAAAAGATCAATCCATCTGGTCGCCCAGTGATCCAAGGACGGAGGCCATGGAGGATTTCAGAAAGAACAAAATGGGGATACTCACATGTCGCTTAAAGTCACCCTGTTTCACGACGAGGTTCAGATTTAACACAATCACTCCCATGTCGTCTTCTAAACTGTTTGGGTCTTCCAATTTTAAAATATGTTCAGTCGTTCTACAAGCAAGAAAATAGAAAATCAACAAAACCAACAAATAATGTGAGCACTTACTGGCAGTCCTGTGTAGTCTTATAAGGCATCAGAAACCCATGGTAAGAGCCTCCTACCTCTGAATAAGGGTTAGACACAAGTTTAAAAAGCACCAAATTCAGGAAATGAAACCATCGCCTTCAAGGTAGAGAAATTGTGTGGCATTGCCTCATTCAACAGCTGGTTAACTGCTTCTCACCGTCTCCCCCCCAATAAAATGTAAATACTTGTTTTAATTTCAAGTCAGGTAGGTGAACAGAAACCTGAATATTAACAAGTGAGAGTGAAAAATGCACTGCACACTGTAGCATATATTATGGAGGACTTCATATCTGACAAGTACATTTGGGAACTGAACAGCAAAAATCATTCATCTAAGACATGTTCAGCACTCTTTCATAGATGCAGACTTTTTTTGTCACTTGATCTAAACAAATGCCAGTTAACATGATCTCGAGTTCCCTCTAAAACTCATTAATAACTATTAGAAGGTAAAAGTACAATACCTGTTCAGCTCAAGTTCGCTGAGGATGACAAACGCAGAGCCCATGAAATCAGATGTAGTTAAATCTCGATCATATACCTTTAAAAGCGGGCCAGGAACACACGTTAATGCGGTAAAACCACGTCTCTCAAATTATTCATACATGTAATAGGCTGAGAACTTTACATTCAGTCTTCTCGCTCTAAAAATAATTTGCATAGTACAGTTCAAGAGGAAGTTAGCCAAGCCGATGGAGAGGAGAAAATTATCCTAACTTGCCCATTTTGCCCGAAACAGCAGCAGAATATACTTTTAAGGCAGTGTTCATAGGCATTCAGACGTTATGCACAATGGACTACTCTCCGTCGTCTTAAACGGGCTCTCATTAAAATTTAGTATTTTTCCATGGTGAGTTAGGTCTGCCAATTAAATAGAAATTTGCTAAATATTCTCTAGCAATCTCCTCCTGCACTCAACTCAGGCAGTTTTCACCCAGATGTTAGAGCAATTAATGCTTACAACCAGGAGCTTAAAGCTCTATTAAGTATAAAGTTATTCCTAATGAGAGAGGCTTTAGGACGCGTCGCTCCTGTACTGCCGGTAATAATTCTTCCACATCCGGTAAGTTTAAGTACAATCAGTGGAGATGTGGTTTCCACGCGGATGTTCTGTACCGTCTATCTCATGGGTCTGAAAGAAATACACATTGTTGGCGAGGCATATAGACAAGCCTATCCCTGCTAGTATTTTTAACCCAGCGCTTAAGGACAATGAAAGAATGAATTTGGGGAGGTTCATTTTGAAGAGGGCAACAACGATCGGCCTACAAGAGCAGATCTGAAAGCTAATTCATGACTGATTACCTTCACACGGAGCTTCTGATCAAGGCTTTGTATCGGCAAGACAACGATCTCGTCCCAGACCGGGTTCAAGTTCTTATATATGACTTTGCTTTTGTACAGCGTCTTCCCGTTCAGCTTAAATTTCACATAGGGATCGCTGGTGCCTTTAAGAGAGAAAGAGAGCGAGCTAGACAGGTTTGTGTGTGTGTGTTTTTTTTCCCAAATGTACACGAATTCCTGGGATCTCTCCATTAAGTAAAGTTTCTTTCCACACTCCCGGAGCTCAAAGCATTTCACCTCGCGCATCCAGAACGGATCTGTCCCTGAGCAGACCCCGAAGACCCCAGAGGTGGGGAGCAGGGACATACAAAACAATTTGGGGTAAAGGACGGATTTGTCTCTGCCGTCCGTGGCGGAATATAAATGGACTCCGTGAGCTCTTTCTGTCTTGTTTCATTGGGGGCATGTCATCACTACACTGCCCCCCAAAATTCCCGCAATCAAATCCACTGGCGACGTCGGGAGTCCTGGGGAGACGCCCACCCTCTTTAAGAAGGGCTGGGAGGCAGTGAAAAGGGAAAGAAACCATTTTTGGGTGTGTTTTTTCTTTTGTTTTGTTTTTTTCAAACATTTGGCCAGATGGCAGACTTGACACAAGCCTGTATGTCAGAACATAATCATAATAAATAAATCAATCTCTGGGACCCCTGGCTCAAAAGATGGGGCGAGGGGATGGAGCCTGGAACCAGGGGAGAGGGTGGCGGGGGGTGGGGGGGTAGAGATTAAATGGACAAAGTTGCCATTCTTCGCTGCCTCCCGCACCTGCAGGGAAGCAGGGAGCATTGTTCGGCCCCGGCCAGCTGAACGCCACACCAGCCAGGCCCTCCGCGGGCCCCGGGCAGCACCCCTGACCTGCCCGGCCCTCCCGGGGAGCTTTGAATTGGACGCCAAAAGAAATGAATAAGGTCCCTCCAGCCACGGTGTCCAGAGCAGAAAAAAGGGCCGATGACGGGCCCTCGTCCACACTTCTGAGATCAATGGAGAAGGCGGAGGAGAGAAATGCCTGCCAACATAATGCCTGGGTTATGTGTGGTGCATGTGGGTTACATGCATGCAAGTATGCCATCATGCCTGGGACACGTAACAGAGACAGGAACACATGTGCATTAATACCTGGTGAATTACGACTAAAGAGGGCTTAAATGAACAGCCAGCTGGAATGGCTACAAAGGAAGAAAAAAAATCGAATTTGGGGTTATATTATCGTAATTAATTGTGAAACAGCCTGAGCCGGTTTGGCCCAGTGGATAGAGCGTCGGCCTGAGGATTGAAGGGTCCCGGGTTCGATTCCGGTCAAGGGCACGTGGCTGGGTTGCAAGCTCGATGCCCAATAGGGAGCGTGCAGGAGGCAGCCAATCCATGCTCCTTTCTCATCATTGAAGTTTCTATCTCTCTCTCCCCTCTCCCTTCCTCTCTGAAATCAACAAAAATCTATTTAAACAAATTTGTGAAACACAGAACTATGAATAAGTGCACAAAGACCCCTGATTCACCACAGTACCCCCCCTATGGGTACTGAAGTGAATTTCTGATACTAACAGCGAGCCAAATAGCCTAAGTGTATTCGATCAAAAATTAAGGAAGTTACTCTGTCATTAACATGGGCCAAGCTGTTAATACCCATCATCAATTACTTGAATCGGTTACTTTTTTAACTCCTTTCCGCACCCCCCCCCCCCCCTTTTTTTTTTTTTCAGATCTGAAAGCTAATTCATGACTGATTACCTTCACACGGAGCTTCTGATCAAGGCTTTGTATCGGCAAGACAACGATCTCGTCCCAGACCGGGTTCAAGTTCTTATATATGACTTTGCTTTTGTACAGCGTCTTCCCGTTCAGCTTAAATTTCACATAGGGATCGCTGGTGCCTTTAAGAGAGAAAGAGAGCGAGCTAGACAGGTTTGTGTGTGTGTGTTTTTTTTCCCAAATGTACACGAATTCCTGGGATCTCTCCATTAAGTAAAGTTTCTTTCCACACTCCCGGAGCTCAAAGCATTTCACCTCGCGCATCCAGAACGGATCTGTCCCTGAGCAGACCCCGAAGACCCCAGAGGTGGGGAGCAGGGACATACAAAACAATTTGGGGTAAAGGACGGATTTGTCTCTGCCGTCCGTGGCGGAATATAAATGGACTCCGTGAGCTCTTTCTGTCTTGTTTCATTGGGGGCATGTCATCACTACACTGCCCCCCAAAATTCCCGCAATCAAATCCACTGGCGACGTCGGGAGTCCTGGGGAGACGCCCACCCTCTTTAAGAAGGGCTGGGAGGCAGTGAAAAGGGAAAGAAACCATTTTTGGGTGTGTTTTTTCTTTTGTTTTGTTTTTTTCAAACATTTGGCCAGATGGCAGACTTGACACAAGCCTGTATGTCAGAACATAATCATAATAAATAAATCAATCTCTGGGACCCCTGGCTCAAAAGATGGGGCGAGGGGATGGAGCCTGGAACCAGGGGAGAGGGTGGCGGGGGGTGGGGGGGTAGAGATTAAATGGACAAAGTTGCCATTCTTCGCTGCCTCCCGCACCTGCAGGGAAGCAGGGAGCATTGTTCGGCCCCGGCCAGCTGAACGCCACACCAGCCAGGCCCTCCGCGGGCCCCGGGCAGCACCCCTGACCTGCCCGGCCCTCCCGGGGAGCTTTGAATTGGACGCCAAAAGAAATGAATAAGGTCCCTCCAGCCACGGTGTCCAGAGCAGAAAAAAGGGCCGATGACGGGCCCTCGTCCACACTTCTGAGATCAATGGAGAAGGCGGAGGAGAGAAATGCCTGCCAACATAATGCCTGGGTTATGTGTGGTGCATGTGGGTTACATGCATGCAAGTATGCCATCATGCCTGGGACACGTAACAGAGACAGGAACACATGTGCATTAATACCTGGTGAATTACGACTAAAGAGGGCTTAAATGAACAGCCAGCTGGAATGGCTACAAAGGAAGAAAAAAAATCGAATTTGGGGTTATATTATCGTAATTAATTGTGAAACAGCCTGAGCCGGTTTGGCCCAGTGGATAGAGCGTCGGCCTGAGGATTGAAGGGTCCCGGGTTCGATTCCGGTCAAGGGCACGTGGCTGGGTTGCAAGCTCGATGCCCAATAGGGGGAGCGTGCGAGGCAGCCAATCCATGCTCCTTTCTCATCATTGAAGTTTCTATCTCTCTCTCCCCTCTCCCTTCCTCTCTGAAATCAACAAAAATCTATTTAAACAAATTTGTGAAACACAGAACTATGAATAAGTGCACAAAGACCCCTGATTCACCACAGTACCCCCCCTATGGGTACTGAAGTGAATTTCTGATACTAACAGCGAGCCAAATAGCCTAAGTGTATTCGATCAAAAATTAAGGAAGTTACTCTGTCATTAACATGGGCCAAGCTGTTAATACCCATCATCAATTACTTGAATCGGTTACTTTTTTAACTCCTTTCCGCCCCCCCCCCCCCCACGTTTCTATTTAGCTGCAGAACTAAAAATTAGTGAAAAAATGAAGGCAATACCTTTCCCAACTATTTTCACCCAATGCCACGTGCCTGTAAAGCAGTGGTTCTCAACCTTCTGGCCCTTCAAATACAGTTCCTCATGTTGTGGCCCAGCCATAACATTATTTTCGTGGCTACTTCCTAACTGTAATGTTGCTACTGTTATGAATTGTCATGTAAATATCTGATATGCAGGATGGGCTTAGGCGCCCCCTATGAAAGGGTCGTTCGACCGCCAAAGGGGTCGCGACCCACAGGTTGAGAACCGCTACTGTAAAGCAAGATGTTATGTGCCTACTGTATCACCAGCCTTACCAGGCGGGCACAGGGATCATTTTGATGTTCGTCTTCTAATCTCGCAAGGCTACTAACTTTAAAACAAAGAAATGAGACCACAAAGACCCACGCAGACGTATCAAGTGTCACACCGGGAGTTTGGCAACACGGGGCGGGCAGAAGTCCAGCTGCCTTTAGTTTAAACACAGACACACACACACACACACACACACACACACACGCACACACGCACACACATGCACACGCCAAGTTAAGTGCAGTTCTGGGCGGGATTGTAAAAATGAGCGCATTCACAGCCACTAGCGAGTGAGCAATCTGCCCCACCCCCCCCACCCCCTGCCAGCCGGACTGTAACAATCATCCTGGTATCTGTCTATATATAAATAAATAAAAAGTGGAGGAAAAACTATAATAAAAAGAGGCCCTTAATTAAATGAAAGTGCCACTGTGGGATCAGGGCTTCATGCTTGTCAGCACTCTCTCCAAATAAACATCTCAAGCCCAGGCCTCGCTGGTACCCCCTGCTCCCCAGCAAAGCACCCTGGGTAATCCCCAGGCACCCTGACAGCCACATAATGTCCAAACTGTTTCACGGGTGAATGGCGGCCGTCGCGTGAAAGAAGATCTTAATGTCTGGGATTCGCCGGAGGGGGGGCCGGGGCTTACGGAGCCCGGCGAGGAAAGAGGGGGTCACGTCCGTCCAGCGCGGCGTTAATTGTTCGGGAAAATCCGAGAAAGGGGGGGCGGTGGGGTGATCTTTTTTTTTTTCTCTCTCGCAGCCTAAGTGCCTGGCTGTCAGGGATGAAACATCTCAACTAGGCAGGCTCTACAAAGGGGTCAGCCGCTCCGAAAGGCAACTCCCAGATTATACAGATGACGAGATGACACCTGAATGGGTGGACTTTAACCTTTTTTCACTGGGAGCTTCTTCGTCTACAATGAGGCTCTTGGGAAGGAGGAGGTAGGGTGGGGCTTGGGGAGGGGGAAGATGCTAAGAGGCCGGTGACCGTGCCTCCGGGCTGGGGCTGCCACTGATTCTGCCATGTGGACCCCATGGAGTGACACAACCTCCAATTCCCAATACCAAGGCCGCCCCAGCCGGTTGCTCAGTGGTTAGAGTGTCAGTCTGCGGACCGAGGGTCCCAGGTTCGATTCCTATCAAGGGCATGGACCTCGGTCGCAGGCTTCTCCCTGGCCTGGGCCCTGGTCGGGGCATGTGCAGGAGGCAAACTATTGATGTGTTGCTCTCACATCGATGTTTCTCTCTGTCTTTCCCTCTCCCTTAAAACAAAATATCAATGGCCCTAGCTGGTTTGGCTCAGTGGATAGAGCGTCGGCCTATGGACTGAAGGGTCCCGGGTTCGATTCCGGTCAAGGGCACATTGGGTTGCGGGCTCAATCCCCAGTGTGGGGCGTGCAGGAGGCAGCTGGTCCATGATTCTCTCTCATCATGGATGTTTCTATCTCTCTCTCCCTCTCCCTTCCTCTCTGAAATCAATAAAAATATATTTAAAAAATAAAAGTAGAACCAACAACAAATGAATAATGGTACTGCCTGTTTTTCTCTATTTCTAACATTTGAGTAAATCCTGTTTTAGTGATCTACATTTCTAGTTCTTGGTCAGGAAAATTCTTGTTCAGATCCCCGCCCCTTTCCCTATGGGTGTACGGTTCATGATTTGCTTACGAATTTGAATGGGTCCTTCATTATGGAAATCAGCCATCGGCTATAGAGATCACGTCATAATCTGTTTAACTTTACGTGACTTCTTGCAATAAGTACTTTTCATTTTTATTTGGTCAAATTTTGGCCAAATTTACGGCACTGGAGTCTGACATTCTGCTTAGAAGCAGTTTTCTCTCCGAGATTTTAAATGAGTTCCGCCATGTTTCCTCCACTGATTTTGTAGTTTCTCTTTTTTTTTTGTTCTTTACACGTAAGCCTTCGGTCCATCTGGAATGACTTGGGTATGAGGAGGGAAGGGAATTCAGGTTTGCTGATGAGCAGGAAAGTGACCGGCGCCAAGCTGGGAAATATAAATCTGGCAGCAGCTTATAACTCAGAAGGCAGAAGAAACCAGCGGGAGCAGGGGAACCTGGGAGTTGAGAGAACACAGCACCGGGGCACGGAGCACGTGGAAGAAAGGGGCCCCAGGCCCCAGACGGGAGAACCCCGAGTTTCACAAGGAATGTTCACCTCGAGAGACGCTCCTTCGTGGGGGGAGAGGTTTATGTCCCCGAAACCACTGGGAAAGGATCCTGACCATTTTCTCACTTAGAGCTTCGCATCATAGACTAAGATAGCGGTTCTCAACCTGTGGGTCGCAACCCCTTTGGGGATCGAACGACCCTTTCACAGGGGTCGCCTAAATACATCCTGCATATCAGATATTGACATGACAATTCATCACAGTAGCAACATTACCGTTATGAAGTAGCAACGAAAATAATTTTATGGTTGGGGGTCACCACAACATGAGGAACTGTATTAAAGGGTCGCGGCATTAGGAAGGTTGAGAATCACTGGACTAAGACATTCAACTCTGCCAAGAGCTGCATTGAAGACAATCACAACAATAAAAGTTGAAAACTTTCCAAATCTTTCAATTTTCATAAAATTATTATTTTTTTTTATTCCTCATCCAAGGATATTTTTCCATTGATTTTTAGGGAGAGTGGAAGCGAGAGGGAAAGACAGAGAGAAACATCTATGTGAGAGGAACACATCGATTGGTTGCCTCCTGCAGGCGCCCCGACCGGGGCCCAGGCCGGGGAGGAGCCTGCAACCGATGTACTTGCCCTTGACCAGAATCAAACCTGGGACCCTTCCGTCCGCTGGCCAACGCTCTATCCACTGAGCCTAACCGGCTAGGGCTCTCATAAAGTTATTTTAATATCGAAAATGTTTGACTGGGACCATCTATGAACATAATATTAAACTTCTCTGATTCAAAGCTCTGGAAGGTATTTTATGCCCAGAATTGCCTACTATGCACAGTAGATGTACCACAGACAGGTGACGCGTGAATGGATGAACTCTGAATGAAGATGGGAATGGTGGATCTAAACCCCAGACCTCCCTTTTAGTGACTGAATCACCTTTGGCAACTTAACACATAGCGGACCAGTAGTTTCATTGCCAGCTTTACCCAGTGGCCAGATAAGTTTCTATTGAACGAGTACAAAAAACTGAAAACCAGCCCTAGCTGGTTCGGCTCAGTGGATAGAGCGTCAGCCTGCGGACTGAAGGGTCCCAGGTTCGATTCCGGTCAAGGGCACATGCCCGGGTTGTGGGCTCGGTCCCCAGTAGGGAATGTGCAGGAGGCAGTCAATCAATGATTCTCTCTCATCATGGATGTTTCTATCTCTCCCCCCCCCCCACTTCCTCTCTGAAATCAATAAAAATCTTTAAGGAAAACACACCTGACAATCACTAAGTATTCATAACTCCTGGCCACCACCCTACTCCAAGCCTATGGTGACGCACTGAGGATTCCAGAGCACTTTGCTGGTTAAATTGGATGAAATAAACAGGCAGCTCAGTGAGAAGGACACACGACAACTCAAATCGATCCTCAGGAGTGTCATCAGGAACCATATTATTTGACCGTCTTGTTCTCATCTGGAGATTTTTTGAGCAGCTGCTGCTGCCCTCTAGTGGCTGAAGCAGTAAGTTCCAGCCCGCACAGCGGCCAAGTGCCTGCCTCATTCTAAAATCTAAACGGAGGGACCCCTACAGAAACCACAGTGGGCATTCTGGAAATTGAGAGGGAATTTCTCCTGGGTCACGTGGGAAAGAAGAAACTCTGTTTTTCTTCGTTGAGCAAAATCTCTCCCCTCTCTCTTCCTCTCTGAAATGAATATATATATATTTTTAAAAAGTAATAAATCTAAATAATATTTCATAAGCATTAACAATGTACTAGGTCCTGTCCAGGCACCCACATTTCTTTATCTTTTTTTAAAATTGATTTTAGAGAGAAAGAGGAAGGGAGAGTATGAGAGAGAAACATTGATGTGATATCGAAACATCGATTGGCTACCTCCTACAGGCCCCCTACTGGGGATCGAATGTGCCCCAACCTTTTGGTGCATGGGATGATGCTCAACTAACTGAGCC